GGGACTATTCTTTCCCCCTCTCTACTGTTCTTCTTAATGTGAATAATCACACGACCTTTTCTCAACGCAAATAAGTTTTGTAACTATATAATAGTAGCTTATGCTAAATGGCTAATGAATGGTCACATTAAAGTTCAACTGGTGTAAATAAATTAATTTTTTACTATAAAAATTAACCTACCTTCTCGTTGCATTTCTCTCTCTCTCCCCTAACCTATTCTACAAAATATCTTTCTCATTCACTCTTTCTACTAACAACCTATTCTACTAGATTTGTTTTTTTTTTTTTGAATAAATACACTATATTTGTTTTCATAAAGATTATTTCAAAAACCAAAACTCCTAAGATATTAAAAAATAAGAAAATAAATTGAGTTAGGGAGATCTAGCTAACTCAATTTATTTTATCTATACTACATTATTAAGCAAGAGTAAAGGGGTGGACATATATTGCAAGAGTAGGAAGGGACCCTAATGCTATATATATCATAAGGTAGGAAACTCTATTGTATAAGTCACATTCTCTATTTTTAGAGGGGGAGAGAGATGTGAATTAGATTGTCTTGTTACTTTCTTAGCAAAGCAAATCGCACAATAGATAGAGAAAATCAAGAGGATATTTTAGGAAAAAAATGAGAGGGAGACTTACGTATAGAATAGTAGGAGAGATTCATAAAAGTAATCTAACATTATCGTAGAGAAAATCAATGAAATCAAATCCCATAATAGGTAAAAAAATCAAGAGGATATGAGATAATATGAAAATTGAGATATTTTAGGAGAAAGATGAGAAAAAAACTTACTCATGGAATATGGATTTGATAGTTGATAGGGATTGAGAAATTGTCGAAATAATTTATCTTTACAAATTCTGTTTTCTCCAACTTTCCATGACATTCTTTTTCTCTCTTTCTTCTCCACTACCCCTCTCTCTCGATCTCTTCTCTCTCTCCACGAGTCCCCTTTCTCCCTCTCTCCCCCCTCTCTCTTCCGTCTTTTTATGATGTTCTTTCTCTCTCTTCTCCACAACCCTGTTTCTCTCTACTCATTTTCTCTATTATTTCATTCTTTGTTTAGAACTTTTCTATTTGTTTATTGATAATAAGGTTGTTTCGAACTTCTCAATTTGTTTATTGGTAATAGGGTTTTGTATTTTTGTTTTATGATTAATGAGTAATATTCAATTTATTGTAGATATTTGAGCATATGTGGAAATTGAGCAGGAAAATAATTACAAGGTATGATTCAACTTTGTGTGTGTATGTTATTGTTCGTCTATTTTCTTTCTTTCTTTTTATGTGCTTGAGGCTTTAATAAATAATTATAAGTATGATTGTAGGATTATTACCGTAAAAATTTGTTATTTATATCATAAATTATGATTTCATTATACCATTTTACATATTTTTACTATGTATTAAAATTTTTAAATCAGTAATATTTTCTTTGATATAAACCTCACCGCGAAAAAAACAAAGTTATGTGCTTATCAATTTCATTTATGGCTAATCTTTTAAACAATATTTTAAAGTTATCAACAAAATACTTCCATTTTTTTACACTTAAGTTATTTTTATGCTCACTTTTCAATAATATATTTATTTTAAAGATTTTTACCATAGATTAATTTTTTAAATAAATAACATTTTATTTGATACTAGACTCACCACTAAAACAAAATTTATTTAAAAAATCTCTTAAATAATAATTTTTTTTGTGTTTCTATGATTTTTAAATTTTTTTACAATTTTTCAAGTATTTGAAAGTAAGTACATTCTAGAAAAAAAGGAAACCAACTCTATATTTTGTATTTTATGAATAATTTATAAATATTATATTTTATGTATAATTTATAAAATATTAAGTACAATGTTTTGCAAGATAAATGGTAAATTTTCAATTTTCAATTATAAAGTATCCCAAATAAAATATGTTCTATCTATTACAAATATAGAAACTTCCTTTATATTATTAAATTTTTAATTTTTTAAGGCTTTAAACCTTCATATATATATTTCTCTTGTCTAAAAATTTAAGTCCTAAAAATCGAGTTTATTTTTTAGCAAAAATATAAAAATAATTAATAACAACAAAAAATGTAATTTTTTTTTTAAAAGATTAGTATAAACTAAAATTATATTGTTAACTCTAAGGTGCTAGATGGATCTATAATATATATGTGTGCCTAAGAATTAGGACAAAGTTTCACGGTTGATAACATTTAAATACAGTATAATTATTATTAAATTAATGAGGTATAATTAATAGAAATTAATCAAATTATAATTCAAAATAATTAAAATAAAAAATTTATATATTTAAAAGTATAAAGCAATCTTGAAAACTAATTAAAAAAAAAAACATAAGATATTTTAATCTTACTGGTGATTTTCCCATATATAATTTGAGCCATGTAGATATCTTTTCCTCTCTTATTTTTATTGTTTCAAAAGCCCCACTACTGTTATCCTATATTTTAGAAATTTTATATCAGGTTATAAAATCCAACATCTGTGAGTGTAGTATGTCCTTCTTTCTTTTGGTTTTTTGGATTCAATATCTCTACTTCTCTATCTTTAGATTATTTTCTCTTAACTCGGTACATTTTTTCTTTTTCTTTTTTTTAATTTTGTTTTTCATTCAACTTCATGCAATCCATGTTGCTTGATGAGATATATGATCCACAAACAGGATTAAGGGCATATGTATATCATTTGGTTTCATTTCTCCTATATGTTGTTCATCATTGTTTGAGTTTTAACACTAGCACTTGTATGGTTTGTGCATTGATAATTATATTTCATTATTTCTTTTAAATAGTTATTATTACCTTATGCATGATGTATTAATAACACTAGCACTTTGTAAGGCTTGAAAGTGCAACTTAGACCAAGTGATTGGTCATGGCCCGAGGAGATCATTCGGGGCGAGTTTGAGTAATTTGAAACGATTAGTGTCAAATTATAAAAATCCAATAAATAAATAAATGTATGTTTAAAGCAAGATTACGCAAAACACTTCAAAATAATATTAAAAATTAATAAAAATATCGATCTTAAAAAATCAACTCTTGACTGGGGGTATGTTTTGAAATAATTAAAAAATATAGGAAAATATAAAAATAAGTATTTATGGCCAAACAATTTTCCAATTTTTGCCAAAGTGACAGAAGACATAAAAAACATATCCCAAATAAATTTCACTTTTTTTTTGGGATTTTTATTTTTATTTTTTGAATTTTTTTAATGTCCCCAAGTTGGATACCCAACTCGGGACAACTAGTGCTCAGCAAGTGGCAGAGTCCAAGTAACTCGGATGAGTAGAAACTACTAGGCCGTTTTCTACCTATATACCATGAATCTCTCTCTCTCTCCCTTGAATTTCTCTCAAATCTTTTCTTCGGTAGAGTTAATGTCACCCATCTTTCTCTTATGTTACCTTGGGTGAAAAAAATGGAATGACAACGAACTCATACGACTCTATCTTATCTTGCCTTGGAAAGGCAAAGAAATCATTTGTTGTGCTTCATTATATCCCTATGTCCATTTTTTTTTATTTTTTTTTCCCTTTCATTTTATAGTTTTTAGATACATTATGTCCAATGTGTTGAATTAATTCCATTAGAGAGTATTGAATTGTGCTTCCTTGTTGATTTTTTATGTCGTGTATATTGGTTATATTGCATAGGTGAGTTTTGGCATCCTTCACAAAACTAATATTTTGAATTTCATATTTTCATGAATTCAAAAATTACTTACATATTTTTTATGTTTAGTTCGATGAATGTTTCTTATTGAGATTGACGAAGTTTGCATATTTGATGTTGTTGAAATATGTATATTGTACTTTTTATATCTTATTCTTTTTTGTTTTGCTTTATTTACCCTTATTATTTTTGGGAAAAGTTATAAAGAGGCGAGGCTCTAAACAATCAAATTAGAGCCCACCTTAAAAATTTCTCTAGAAGAGGTTGTTTTGATTCCCAAATATCCTCAAATTGATCATCTCAATACATGGACATGATAAAAATAATGAATTTTAAGTGTTGAAAATAGTGCATCTTGTGACACATTTTTAGACCATCAATTTTCAAGATTTTCAAGTTTTCATATATCTGTTCGATCTACACTATTTTTGAAGCTTTAAATTGTATAATTAAAGATGAAAATAGATTTTCAATATTAAAACCACATTACCTTTTGAAGGTGGGCTTTACTTTGATTGTTTACAGCCTCGGCACTATACAAACCGCACCCTTATTTTTAAAATTTGCAGCTTACTCTAGAACTTAAATTCGTGGCACATTTATAGATATATATTGATTCTCTCCAAGGAATGTGCTTTATACTATTTACAAAATCGAGTACTTCATTCTTAGGTGCAACCCACTTAATCCAACTAGCTGCTTTAAATTTTATTTTAAACTTTATTTCGACTATAAAATGAATTTAATAGACAACAAACACTCAGACATGAGACTTGTTCCGAGTATTTCCATATTTTTGATGCAACAATGAAAAATCATAATACAATTACCACTTTTTTTTAGAAACCTAAAAAACTACATTTTCGAGAATTATAGTAATTTTTGAGATTTTTTTGACGTTGAGACCGGCCAATTCTCCAATCTAGATCGCCAATCCACCGATTGGACACGGTTTTTGAAGTGACTGATCTGAGTCACTGCCGGTTTTTTTTAAACCTTGATTCCTAGAATGGAGAACATGCCTATTCTTATAATGGAATACAATCTGCATGGTAAGGCAGGGGTTCTTAAGAGTTAGCCTGCAAATTTAGACACAGAATGCAAATTTAGACACAGAATGCAAATTGTGACCACCAAATTTTGATAGAAAAAAGGCAAAACAATATCATCTGTTACATTTATCTCTGGGCTTTCCCAATGTGTGCATGTGTTGTGCTGAGAGAGAGAGAGAGAGAGAGCATTTATTCTATCATAACGTCTCAAATTCAGTCCCACAATCAAGATGTCACGCCAATATATCAAAACCAATTTAGACAACCTGGGTATCCACCAATCTTTCCTAATATGATGTAGTGAAATTCAGCATTGACAGGCCGCAAGAATTAAATAATCTTTATTTACTGTAAGTCATAAATCAATGCCCTCAAATTGTTGATCCTTATTTATAGAAAGAATGCCAAAGAATATCTGCTCAACTATGAACACATCTACCTGAATGAGACTGAAGTATATTCACAAAACTGGATGGTCAAAAGTGAGTGTAGGAATGGCCTTGCTGAATGATCACTCAAATTGCACCAGCTGGATAATAAACTGGGACCTAAAAAAGCTGATAAAACCACCAGAGAACATTGTATGGCAATGGTGTTTATATCAACATTTTTATGTATCAAGATGGAAAAAGCAGGTCAATAATGGAGATAAATGCCTCTCATCAGCTATCTTTCGATATCTACAGCTTAGACACTGAATTTATCACACTTATATCTGCAAGAACATTATCCATGATTAATACAGATATACTTTTAGGATATTTCATATGCTTGTGGTTATGTGTATGGATGTGCATGTGTGTGGAACACATTATGTTAGCCTATAGGCCAATGTGATCCTTTTCCTATATGTGTGTGTTTGTTTTTCTTGTGTGTGTGTGTGTGTGAGAGAGAGAGTGAGGGAGAGAGGCAAGGAGTTTCATGAACATGTAAACTAGGATCTATCTAATTATTTTTACATACATAGCACATGCTGGAATGTTAAATCATTAATAATGAAACCTTCTAGTACTTCACTTGACAACTGAAACACTAAAAACACGTCTACCAAGTATGCAAAATCAAAAGAAGTAAAAATGTTTTGTCCAAAAGCCCCTATGCTTGTTGAATTTGATGGTTCACAGTTAATTGTTCAAGATGGCCACTGCCACCAAAACTAGTGGAAAGCCTCATGATTATTACGGTTTGGTGCGAACTGCGAAGCATCCAAAGGAGAACTACTTCCAATGAAAATATGCCTGATATCCATCTTTTCAGGCATTTGGAAAGAGAGGAAACAAGTTATTTATCATTAGTTTATTGTGATTGTATGCAGCTATGGATCCTGCTATCATAAAGCCCATGCATTGCACATGCGTAGAAGAGAGAAAAAAATCTTAAATACCATTATTAAGCCCTTTTTCGAGGATTCTCGTTTTCATCCAAACCTTGAAAGTTCTTATTAACAAATATGTTACGAAATCAGGTTTTTTATAGAATCTCCTTGAATGTTATCTAGAAAGGTTTTCTGAATTTGGAGGATAGAAATCTGATGGACCCATGAGTCCTAGTTTGGCAGGAGTAGCTATATACCAAGAAATAAAAAAAGGCTGGAGTTTTCTAAGACATGGGATTGTCATGTGCAACCCACACAATATTACTAGAAGGTAGTGTAAATCAGTACCTTCAATAATGTGAACCATTAGCCATAAAAGATTGTAGGCCCTTAGTGTTAAAAGAATGTTGTCTTAGCCGTAGAAAGTGTAGAGTATCTACAATCTTGCATGTGAGATGATCCATATGTACATTAGAAGAACAAAGTTATGCATAACAAAAACATACAAAATGACATTAATACCGATGTAAGCACCATGTACAGAATGATTGAAACTATGAGCATGGTACTCATAAAACTATGAGCAAGACATAAAACTATGAGCATGGTACTCATAAAATCCAAGCCCCGACCAGATCTTCCAAACACATAATGGGAGAGTTGCATGCATCCCACAAATCATCAACGTGTGAAAAGCATATATAAGCATAGAAATATTGCTATATAAGCACACAATTCATATAGACATGCAAAGAAGGACAAACAAACCAGCATAAGGAATGACAAGCATACATCTGAAGACAAGGAGATGTCACTAAGACTGAAATCCACAAGAACTTACCTCATTAATGAGAGAATTAAAAGAAACAATCGTCATCAGATTCTTCAAACAATGAGTTAATGCTACCTTCATTATTGAGCACCTCATCTAGCATATTCACACTAGCTACCTTAGATGAACCCCCAACCACAGTATCATTATGAAAAGGCACTATATGCAGCACTCCTTGATCGTTCTCTTGTATCGATTTGTTGGTGGAAACCATCTCAGTAGTAACTGGCCCGAAGTTCTTAAGAGGTGAGTTCTCACCAGTCCCCATTGAGTGTGAATGACCCCCACTTGAGTATGCTGGCAAATCAGGATTAATGTCCTGACTTTTCTGGCTTTGCATGTGAAATTGGCTATGCTTATCCAACGAACCAAAACTTGAATGGAAACTCCACAAAGCAATACCATTTTCCCTTGCATTCCTCAAAGGATTAGATGACTGCAAGAAACCACCTGCTAAGTCCATGATACAATTCTTTATGTCAGTAACAGAAGGGAGAAGCTATTATTACCATATAGCCATCTGCTTAGCAGTCTTTCCTGCCTCGTAATATTATTCGAAAGAATAAGAGTAAGTAATGAAATTTACCTCTGTAATACGGTACCAGTGATTGAATGTCACGTGGTTCTAAAGTGCCCATGTTGAGGAAGTTACTTCTTCTATGGACAGGAGCCATCGATGTAGAAATCACCGGACATGTTGTTAGTTGTTCTTTTCCCATTGAGACTCCTAGACTCACTGGTAAATGAGAATAACAAGTGTTGGCGCCAACCATATTCAGAGAAGTATCCATATGTCTTGTTCTGTTGGCAATGCTTTTTACAAATGCTATAGGATTCATTTGAGAAGCAAATACTTGAGCATCAAGATCTGGGGTTTCAGCAGTAATAATGGAGCCATGTCTTTCTTTTGCATGGTTTCCCAATGAAGTTGGGGCTGAATCACCTTGAGGAGCTTCATCCTTTATTTCTTTCCTCAAGTTTTCGCGGTACTTCTGTGACAAAATAAATATCATTGTGAGCCACAAAACATATAAAATGAAAAGAAAGTCATAAAAATAATTAAGGAAAAAATCCACACTTCAAATGGGCAATAAAATCAAAATCTAACCAATTCAACTCAGATAGACTACGTTTGAGTTTTATGACAAAAATAAAATGTATTGCATGTCATATTTGTAAAATAACTGTATAAATTTGTTTGACACTATTTTTCTTTGTTCATAGATTTGCCAAGTCAACTTGGGACAAGAGTGACAAATTAGCTTGAAAACTAGTCATCAAGGCTTACTACAGACTATAGCAAATTGGCTCTGCCAAAGCTCATATTTGTCGTTTCATCTCCTTCTCAATCACCATGATGCCACTAGAGGCTTACCATCCCCGCAAACAACATTCTCTTGTTTGAGGATGCTATATTATGACTCCACAGGCTACCATCATCTAAAAGGATGCTTTGATGCTCACCGAATTTTTTTATTGGTAATGATGTTTCACGATGTATTTTTATGTTCTTCACTTTGTCGACATACAGAATAGACAACTATAATGAGTTTAGAAGAAAAAAAGCCATCATTTTGGCTAGCCTCTGGCTCAGACATGACCACCATTACAGGCCTTGTACAGTTGTACTCTATCAGACCCAACAAATCCCTCTAAGCTCCACCACTATAACCATAGAGAATTGTATGAAGCTGCAAAATACAGTTCATAATTACACCCTCTCCCTCCTTGACATGAAGCATCCAAAGCCTCACATCCTCTAATTTGCCAACAACTGCCTGGAATTCAAACTTCATATTCATTGCCTCTGCAAATCCGGCTAGCCTCTCCCTGTTTCTTGAAGTTCATGCTTCGATTCCCAGATAGCCGTTATCCTAAAATGGCTTGGTCGGTTGGGCATAGAAGCCAAGCTCTGAAACAAACCAGGCCATTGAAAACCTTCCCTTATGTCAGGGTCTATTATGTATACTCGTTACTTCCCTTTCAAAAGCTCATAATATCATCTCATTTGCAGTGATTTGGATGAATTCTGGAATTGGATTCATCTGGTTGAGAAGCCTAAAACTAGTGGTCGAATCATCCTCTAAGAAATCAGGTTGCAGAGGAGAGAAATGGAATATATTGGGCCAGAAGATTCTGAGAGTGCGAGCCTATGTGAATTAGGTCGAAACCCTATGAATCGAGGTGCTCTCTGGTGAAGAAAGCTCCCCCAATCTAGAAAGAAAATGACTAATGAAAGCGAAATTATTCGAAGTGATCACGTCTGTACATGAAACAGTAAGCCCACTGGCCCAAGACCATGTTCTCTAGGTAAATTTTTGCAGCTTTATGGAGCTTCGTCAGGTTGGTAAGGGACAGAGCTACCTTCGCCTCTAGGGACTTGTTATCTTCTTTATGAGACAAGCTCTCTGTTTCTGAAGAACTCGAGCTTCACTTTGATTTCTTCAGTTCTTTACTGGTTTCACCATCCTTATTGTCTCCCTTCTCCCACACCTTTGTGACAATAGACTCAAACCAAGCACCGGTCTTTGCTAATGGAAGAGGAGAGAGAATCGACTCAGGTTGAGTATAAACCTCTTCTTCTTTAATGGAAGCGGAAGAAATTGAAACAGGAGGAGCAAAACCAGGGCTCAGACCAATTGATTGGGGCTTTACAGTCTCAGAGAACTAGTAATCACCATGACCCAATTGGTTGAAAAACAGTACATCATAGAAATGGCTTTCAAGTTTTAATTAGTACTCATATCTTGCAAATTTCAAATGAAATTGAACTGATGCCAAATTTCTATAAAGTTCATAGCAAAATTTGCAAATAAAAACACTACAAAAGGCAAAATGAAGCAATAAAATATCGATAAATCGGTCAGGCAAACAAAAACCTACCTACTAATATTGAATGATTCCATGGAGGATTTGTGTACTTTGGCTTTCCCCATATAAATCCTTGGATCTAAATTTCCTCGCTATTTATTGTGTATGATAAACAGAAGCACACTGACAGCAGTACATACTAAGTCTGCAGTTTATATCATAAACGAATTAAAACGTTCTTTATATTTTTGTCAATTTTTAAAGATTTTTCCGAAAGGAATAAGGAGTTGAGTTGACTCAGTTTTGCTAATAAACAAGTAAACGAATTAAAACATTCTTTATATTTTTGTCAATTGTTAAAGATTTTTCCGAAAGGAAGAAGGTGTTGAGTTGACTCAGTTTTGCTAATAAACAAGTCCCAATTTTCAACTTTTACAATTCAATGAAAGAAGATCAAGTTCCAATTTAAATAAAGATGTTTACTTGTAGAAAAGTATCATCCAGAATTCCTGAACCTGTAAGCAACAAGGAGCAGAAGTCACATAGAAAATGAATGCACAATCCAACAAACCAGCAATGCTGATCAACTTTGAAAGTACAAAGATTCAATTGCATTTCCTTTCTTTTACGAAAAACAGAAACCACTATGCTTCCAGATCGCAAGAAAGGGTTGCAATTAATTAATATAATGCACTGCAAGCCCCAATAGCTGAGTTTTCATGAGATCAATTTACAGACAAATAGCAATCTCCATCAATACTGAATTGATGCTAAATCTCTATAAATTCATAGCAAAATTTGCAAATAAAAACACTATAAATGGCAAAAATGAAGCAATAAAATATTGATAACTCATTCCAGCAAACAAAAACCTACCTGCAAGTGACTAGCAATGCTTCCTCTGCATAGGCGTGGAACATGAACATTCATTAGTTCATGTATTTTCTTGGGAACTACTTCTGCAAAAATATGGCATAAAAAGAAGATCTTAGTTAGAATAAAATGGGGATAGATAGTTCTCATAGATAGTTAGAACAAAGTGAGCATGACATGACATCTATATTACCAGAGTGTGTGTAGTCTTACCTTCATGGTCATGGGCTAATTTGTTTATGGCATCCAAGAATATTTGATGGAGCTCACTAGTCCAAACTATTCTTGGCTTCTTAGGAGTACAAGAATAAGAATTACATCCAGAATCATTTTCCACCTTCCCCATATCCTCTTTTTTCTTTGCTTTTTTGTCATTCCCTTTGTCCGGCGATGTTGCATGTAGAAGACTATTTGATGCTTCATGATGTCCAAGGCTATCTTCTACATTCCTGGAATGTACATTTTCAAGACCATTCAATAATCCATGGCGTCCACCACTATCTTCTGTACACCTAGATTTAATAACTTCCTTCAATCCATTATTTTTCTTTCGAATCTTCTTCCTAATCACATGCTGCCATATGTTCTTCAGTTGCTCGATTCTTATAGGCTTTATTAGGTAGTCACAAGCCCCATTCTCTATTCCTTTCATTACAATGTCTTTTTCGCTATCAACCGATATCACTGCATTACAAATTCAAGTATATAAACTGTAAAGCTATTGCTCCATCTGAAACTAGAGACACCATAAATTATCAAGTTTTTAAAGTTAGAAATGAAAGCTATTTTAACAGGGGCAGCACAATTTTAAGCAGGAATTGAAAAGGAGAACTAGTGATATATATGACACTCCAAACAGCTTATTGTCGGTTTTGTAGACTGAGAAATCAAATCTTATTTTGAAAAGGTACTTACTGATGACAGGCAAGTCCATTGCCATTCTAACTTGATTGAGAAGTTCGAACCCATGCATATCAGGCAAATGCACATCACACAAAACCACATCAAATCGGCCATTTCCATCTTGAATCTGATTGAGAGCACCAGTTGCCTCAAAGCAGGTCACAACTGAATGAGCAATACATCAAGCAAATCAAAAGGCAAGAAAAGAAGTCATAATTCTAGCACCAAACAAGTTTCAATATGTACAATGCATAGGTTAGGACTTGTATTGCTAGACTCTTAACACCAATACGCAAAAACTCCATTGTGGCTCGGGACCTGGCCCCTGCCCATGCCAAGTAAATTTGACAAGTCCAAGTGGACTCACCCAAGCTGTGTAGAAGCCCAAAAAGGACTCAAATTTGAAAAAGAAAAAGTCCAAAAATTTCCAAAAAAATTAAAACATAGTAAAAAAACTAGAGAAGTAATAGACAACATTAAAAGTATACAAAAAATGGAGAAATATATGCAAAAGATGGAAGGAATATTGAAACATCGATTTGTAGCTAGAAACAATTCAAAAAAATCCGTAAGAAGGGAAAAATAGAAAAGTAGAGCATATCATAACAAAAAATCGCAAATCAATACAAACAACAACATTATATAAAAACATATTTTTACACCATTTATTACTCATTTAGTAAAAAAATGGTTAATTTTTTGGGACCTTTTCAATAATCCCGATTTCGGCAGTATAACTTGCCTCTGCAAGGTGCCGAAGCTGAGTTACTTGACAGAGTGCAAGTTGACTAGGTCGATTTTTTTAACAATTAGTCAACATTGATTAGTACAATCCTCAAACACCCATCCAAATCTAGGGCATGCCTCCTATGCCTACGGCTCATTATCCAAAAACTTAGTAACCATCTTACTCCATACAATGCTCAAAATCTTTCTAAAGAGTTTGAAAAATGATACCATATCATTCACCGACGTTGTTCCAAAAGGTTAGGCTTGAGCCCTGCCCAGGGGCGGAAATGTCTCTAGAGGGAAAAAAAAAGGTGGGGTTTACTCTCATTTCGCTCCTCCTTTATGGGAAATTTCTTTTAGTTGTTTTATGAATTTTTAAGTTATTTTACGAAAATTAGAGGGAAAAAGGTGGGGTTTACGCTCATTTCAAACTTAAACCCCATTAGAGCTATTTTAGAGAGATAGAAACCTCAAAATAATATATTCTAATTTTTTACACAATAAATAACTTTGAAATAATTTTTTATTCTACTAGGCCGCCCAGGTTTTGGGCGCCAGCCTAGGCGCTGGGCGGAGATAATTAGTAGAAAAGACTCCCCAAAAAGTAATAACTCAAAAGGGAAAGAAGCGTGAATCACAATTTTTTTTGTTTTTTGTGTCTAAAAATAAAACAGAAGATATATATTTCCAAGGTGTCTATTTAATCAAATTTGTGGGAAAATAACGGAGAAAAATTCTGGAAACGAACAAGAAAAGAAACTGTCCATTCAATAAATCCATGAAACAATTTCTCTTTCTCTGTTTATTTTTTAATTAATTGTCGCAATATTGTTGTTGTACCTTTCCTAAGTTACATAAATCACGGCATGGTACTTAAACCTCTAAAACTTAGCAAGATAAGGAACAAGAATCTCCATAATCTCAAGTCCGTCTATTAAGGAATAAGAATCTCCATATTTCCCCATAAACTAAATAAGAATCCCCATAGTTCCCCAATAAACTAAATAAGAATCTCCATAATTCCCCATAAACCAGAGAACCAACCAGAAAATCAATGCTGGAGTCATATAAAAAAAATCAATAGGGAATTTAACCAAAATAATCAAACCGCATGTAAAATCAAGAATCTTACCTTCATATTTGCAAGATTGGAGCAATTTTTCCAGAGTTTTGAGGTAGACATGATCATCATCGACAACCAAAACTCTGAGACCTTCAGGGAAGCTACTTGGATACCCCAATTCCTCTATCAAAGATTTCGCCATGCGTATTAATTTATCATAAGGGTATTGAAACCGGGTCTCTGATAATTTACTGAGCACAAAATTGATGTAGAAGAAATGGATGAATGGGAAAAGAGGATTGGAGAAGCCACTGCTAATTTTTCTGGCTCTGGTATTCTCAGGAGAAAAGACGCACTAATAATGAAAAAGAGAGATGGTTCTTCTAGAGAGAGAATCCTTCTTAAGCAGAGAGGATCTTTTGCTTCCGCGATAAATACGACTCTCTCTCTTCCGCGCCAAAAGTTCCCAAAGGATAAACGTTCAAATTGGAGAGAATGAGATAATATGACTTATAACGTCCTGGGTATTTTTAAAAATGACACAGGAATCCAAAGGTTTTCTCGAAGAGGAACGCGTGTCATCACAAGTACAAGGAGAGGAAAAAGTTCAAATGATAGGGAGAGATAAGAGTTAAAAACCGTTAATTTGAGGTTATATAAAAGGGCAGAAAAATAGGGTTTAGGTTTATTTCAAATTAAACGCATAAGCCGGTCATAAGAGGGGAGAAAAAAGCTCCAACGGAACGTGGGGTTTAACAGGGGGTGAATGTTAGCAAAATGGAACCGGAACAGTTAATTGGACGAGGCTTAGAAGCACTTTAACCGACTACTTGGTAAACCGGCTGATTCGATAGTTTTAATCGAACAATTTTCGAGCTGTCAAAAAATTGTTGGAAAAATAGAAAAAAGACAAAAATAATAATAATTACATATAAAGAATGATTAAAAACTAAACACATTCAAATGAAATAAAAAAATAATGAAATTTTTTTTTAACTAATCGATTTTTGAATTAAAGTGAGTATTAATGACAAAAACATTTTGTTATCTTTACCATAATGTAAAGAATATTAAAAAATACATTACAAACCAAATTTTTATTATTGGGAATTTATATATATATATTTTTGAATTTTTTTTAAATACCGGTTGTTCAGCAAAACCGCCTAAAACCCGATCTAACTTCACGGTTAGCGGTTAAATCGCTTAGTTTTTCAGGGTTTAGGTTCATTTCAAAAAAGTTGAATTGATGAAAAATGTGGGTTTAGGTTCATTTCAAACCTCAAAAACACTAGAGCTTAATTTTTTATATAAAAAATCTAATATTGAAATAATCTTTTATGCTATGTCGTGCAGAGGGACCAATTGAGAGGGACAAAAACGTCAAAAAAAAAAGTAGACAAAATCTAATTTTTTATTCTACTGAGCCGTGCAGGTTATGGATGCCTACCTAAAGCGCAAAAACCATGAATTACAGTTTTTTTTTGTGATTCTAAAAATAAAACAGAAAAACTATATTTCCAATGTGTCTAATTAATCAAATTTGTGAGAAAATAACATAGAAAATTTCTGGAAACAAACAAGAAAATAAAGGTATCCATTCAATAAATCCATGAAATAATTTTTCTTTCTCTATTTGTATTTTTAATTAATTATTGCAAGATTGTTGTTGTACATTTCCTAAGTTACATAAATGAAAAAATATCTACATACTTTTTATTTTTAGGTTTCATTTTAAAATAAATCCAAGGTTTTAAAAGATATATTGGGGCACAAAAATTATAAATTTTATTTTTTCTAACCCTATAGCTAATTTAAACCTGTTTTTATAGGCCAAACAAATCTAAAAAAACTTGCATTTTTTAAAAGTCATCCTCCCAAACTTCTAGAAAGAGAAAAGGGCTTCATGGAAGTGAGAGGTTACCGGAAGGGAGAGAGAGATGTTTGGATAAACATGGGAGGAGTGAGAGAGTGAGATACGCAAGAAGAGTGAGAAAGAGAAAAATTTGGGATATATAAGTGAAGAGAGATAAAAAAGTCAATTTAGAAAGAACATATTTTTCTCATACTTGTTTAGGTTAAAAAATAAGTTTAAAGTGGTATGGGGTTGGAAAATATCTTTCAAAACTTAAGTTTATCAAAAAATAAAACTTAAAAATAAAAGATATGAAAATATTTTTCCTACATAAATCACCCTATGGTATTTAAACCTCATAAACTAAACAAGATAAGGAACAAGAATCTCCATAACCTCGAGTCCTTATTTTAAGGAATAAAAATCTCCGTATTTCTCCCTAAACTAAATAAGAATCTCTATAATTTCCCATAAACCAGAGACCCAATCAGAAGCCCGAAAAAGATAAAAGTTTAAATTGGAGATAATGAGGACTTATAAGCATCCTCAATATTGTTTAGAGATAATGAGATATTATGACTCATGGGAAAGCTTTTTACGTCCCCTATTATATAGAAGTTTTAGGTTCCCCTTATCCAACCGTTCATTTTTCAATGGAGGGCCAAGATTGCTCCAATCACAACTACATTGTTTTATTTTTAATTTTCTTTCTATAAACTGTTTTGACACCAAATTTTGGATGTCCATTCCTATATTAAACTCACACTAACAAAAATATATAAAAAAAATTTTCAATAAAATAAAATGACCAAAATACCTCTGAAAATTTCAAGAGGTATTTTAGTCATTATTTTTTATCGAAAAATTAGTGTTCATATTTTTTATAGGTGCGTCCCAATGAGAATATGTCATATTCCAAATTTCATATTCAAAAAAATTGTATTAAGCTATCGGATCTAAGATCAAACAGTAAGTGACTCTCTTAATAAAAAATGGACGGCTGGATGGTAGGGGGAACATAGAAGTTCATGTTATAGGGGAACATAAAAAGCTTTATCGTAACTCATAACGTCTAGTGTATAGTTTTACGGGGCGCTATCGGACATCCACCATCTGTTATTTGTGAAAGACGGTGGAGAATAATTGCACAATAGAGGTACATATCATTAGGAGAGGAAAAAGTTCAAAATGGTTAATTTGGGGAGAAAAAAAAAAAAAAAAAAATCAAAGTGCAAATGGTAATAAAAGTGGAAAAAGGTAGGGTTCACGTTCATTTGATAAATGATAAAAAAAAAAATATGTTCAAACTGACGTGAGATAGAAACCTCAAAAAACTGGATTTTAAATTTTTTTAGACAAAATCTAATCTTAAAACAATTTTGCTTAGGTGGTGGGTTCTGGCGCGCGCCTAAGTGCTGAGCTTCTTGGACCCCGGCCGCCAAAAGGGCAAAAATCCCAAATTACAGATTTTTTGTTGTTGTGTCTAAATATAAAAATAAAACACAAGAAATATAGTTCCAATGTTTCTAATTAATCAAATTTGTGGAAAAATAACGTAGAAATTTTTTGGAACAAACTAGAAAACAAATTGTATCCATTCAATAAAGGACACGGTTTCTATGCGGCCAGCCTGCACATTGTAGAACTGCGGGCTTGGCAATAAATATATTTTTTAAAATCCTAATTTTTAGAGAATATATAATTTTTAACATGGAGATCATGAATATGAAAAAATATATAAATAAATAAAATTGAAAACTAGAAATAATAATTATATTTTGGATCGTAAGTTACAATTGTTTTTAGATGGACCACCTATTTGCATCCATCTTTAAGATGAATGTTTTATATCTCTCGACTGTATGTTCTAGAAATGCGGTCCAGCCCGCATGAAATAATTTTTCTTCAAGGATATAATCAAGTAAATTAGAAGAATATAGTGAATATTGATAATAAAAGCCAACAATAAATAGATTGCAGTAAATCAAAAGAAACAATTTTAGAGAGAAGATGTAAATGTTTATTTTTTTTAGGGAGAGAAAAAGTCGAGCTAGTATCAAGAAATGAGATCTACATAGTTGAAGATGAAAGTGGGAGAGAGGCTTTTATAAATGTGACTCGGAGCGAAAAGGTTTGAAAAAAAGCACCAAGAAAAAAAGGAAAAAACATCAGTATAGTTGAAGATGATAGAAAAAATAGAGCTGAAGATAGGTCGAGAGTAGGTGAGAGGCTTTTGTGAGAAGGGGAAGAGAGAAGAATAGAAATTGGCTTGGATATTAATGTTTGGCTTGGATATTAATGTTTGGCTTGAATATTAATGTTTTGGGGTTCAGGGTGAAGTTGGAGAGGGAAAACAAAGTAAGTAGCAAAAGGTCACGGGAGCGAAGTGACTGAAAATTCATTTATTTTTCTCAAGGCGTGCAATCCACACAACGGAAGCTCCACTCTCCATATGGGGAGGACTGGACGGGTACAATCCCCAATTTTTAAGATGATAAGACTTCTCACGCCTTAGAAAAAGAAAAACTTAACCAAACTTACGACCATACGTGTGGTTTGGAATTTGGGATGCCTTGAGCAAAAGTTCCAATTATAAAAAAACTTAATCGAACTTCGGACCATAGGCGTCGATTAGAAGTCGGGATGTTTTATGAAAAAAAAGTTCCAATTGTCAAAAAATTTAATCGAACTTATCTCTTTTGTCTAGATACTCTATAGCAGTATTCTGACGGAATGAGAAGCTCGACATAAAAAACCTAAGAAGTGCTGATATGGGTGGGAAGATCCAATTTATAGGCACTGTCATTAATATTTTGCAAAATTTTGAACGGGCGCACCTTAATGATACTTGAAATCAAGGCTTGCGATTCTACTGCATTCCCATAGACATTGGATTAACCATGCGCTGGGCTTATGGGCAATTTTCATACTTGTAATACATATGCACAAATATATATGAAGAATGAGAGTATAATTTCCTTGTTTTTTTTACTACTTGGATAACATTGTATTTTTGGATGAATTTTTATGCTTTTAAAAATTAGTTGTAATAAATTACAGACTTTTATTGTCAAAAAAAAAAAATCCAGATTTTCTAATATAAAAATTATTTGTTTTAATTGATCAAATCTTAATTTTAAAGGGAGGAACATTAGAAATAGATATGTAATAGGTTGTTAATCACCGTTCTGTGTGAAAGCCCAAATTTAAAGGTAAATAGTTGGGATTTGGTGCTATGATTTTCTTGATTACTTATGGATTAAAATCTTATTACATGATTTTGAAATTTAAGTTTTTAAGAGCGAGAGAGGGAAAATCAGATAAGTATCAAAAATAAAATCTTGAAATTTAAATTCTTAAATAAATTGAAATGGCCCTATCTCCCTCTTCTTATCTATCTCAACTTCTCTC